GTCTAGTCATTAATAGATAACGCGTTTAAACAACAAATCGTACAGATAATTGCTTGATCGTCAAAGGGGTATTTGCATAATTTGAATTTTTTGACATGGTAAATTGCATGGAAGCAATAGAAAATACCCGACTAAACGGTCACGAACAACGAGCGGCGGTTTCTTATTATTTATTAACTGTGTTTATGTGGTTTGTACTTCCCCTGCTACATACCTGCTCATTTTTCCGCATTTTTCTTCAGCAAAGTTCAAAAAGCAAACAGAAGTGCTATTTACGCGCGCTATGTTTAATGTTGACTCTTCCGTTTTATTTGTTATTTAAATAGTAAAAAAAATAATAAATCATAGCTGAACCCTTGAAAACTATTTTTGCGTAAATATTTATGCACCAGTATGATTAAAAACTGGATAAGTAAATGTCTGTGTTCACATTATTTGACATATTTTCCAATAAATAGGTCTTGGTTTAAATTATTGTAATTTTGGGGTTCATCTCTGGTTTGAAAAAAAAAAACAAATAAATGCTCGATTATTTTTCTGTGGTCTGTTAAATGTGCTAAATTTTTATACTATCAGTTAATTTCACTTTGATAAAATATTTGTGTTATATTCGCTTTGTATCTCTGAGAGTTTCAAGCCTGAATTATAACATGATGTATCAGTTATTGATTAGGTAATTAGCTGCGAATTTTTGATAAACTTTGGTAAAACTGCTTTATTATTATTTGAACACAAAATTTGAGCAACTTGTGAAATTCCTTGGATTACTGGCTGAGGGATTAATGCTGGATATATCTTTTGATGAAATATATGGCTTATGAATTGTTATCAATTGATGATTCTTCTTTTAATATTTAACAATTGCACCGACGGCAAGGGAAAGCACAAACTTTAGGCATTTGTTAAACATTTGCTTCCTATTTTTGGTTGGTTTATAACAACCTAGCAATGAATAGCGTATGTATACATACATATTTTGTGCGTTTGCTATTTTGTTTTGATGTTTTATTAAAATCGAAGGCCAACCGCTTGATAAAGTAAAGTAGACAATGTAGAGAATGTGCGTAAGTGTGTAGCTTTTTTGAATTTTAAATTTTACCTGAAACGGGAAAGGTTTATGTCATCAAACGCTGTGTACGTAGAATTTTTTCCGACTAGTTGCTATAAAAAAAGCAAAACGCATCGATTTGAAATTTAAATAAATCTTCAGTTGTCAAAGTCCTTTTTTTTTATAGCTGCTAGAATTAGTCATTATTATAATGCTAATTAGTAGGTAGATGTCGTAAATGATGCTTGGAGAATTAACGGTGTGGGTGCGAAAATAATTTTGGCTAGTTCTCATTGCGGTGCGTGCCCTCTGACCTGAAGTGGGACGAAATTCGTAATTTTTAACTAATTGCCCTTATTTAATACGTTAAATTCAATTGCAAATTTAAATTTAACATATTAAACACATGATTAATTATTAGATATTACTAAAATTTATGTATCTATTGATTGATTGGAAATTGTTAGGAAAAATCAGTGTCGTTGTACAGGGACGGACTTAATTTAGGGATATATATGTTATTTTTAGGTAGGGTGAAGGTTCATCCCGTTGTTCAATTTTTAGCTCTTATTTAATGGGTACGTTTAGTTGATAATAACCTTAATTAATTAAGCTTTTAATTTGTAAAAGCGCGTCATGCATACGCCTATTAATATAAGTGCGGAAGATAATCATCAAGGCTGAACCGTAACCTCAGAAGGTTTAATGTATGCCGGCAGCTTGGTCGATTTATTGTGTAATAACAGCAAATTCAAATGCTAACGGCGATATTACGTTATTTAATAACGACTACAAGCGATAAAAAGTACATCGCGCATGCCAAAAATATTTAAATAAAAAATTTAATTTATCGTCATCGGACGTATACTAAGCTAGTACGAGAAATCTATATTTCATATTTCTGAAGCTGATTTGTTATCAAATCCAGCATTTTTCACTTGCTTAATATCAAGCTAGCGTTTTGGTCTATATTCCAGAAAACGCCTCCAGCGATAAATTTTTGGATTCGGTAACAAATTTGCAACAAATTACTGACAATACTGGTATGCAAGGGAAGAAAAAGTAGGGAAAGAGTGATATAAAGAGACGAAAAATTAGAAGAAGTGGCTGATTTTAGATATCTAGGAAGTCAGATGAGTCAGGATGAAAGGAGTGGTAGGGATATAAAGCAGAGGATAGCGCAGGGTCTTGTCGTCTTTAATAAAAAAGAAGTCACTTCTATGCTCGCGAACGGTTAATTTAGAAATTCTAAAAAGGTTGTTATAGGTGTATGTTTGGAGCACGGCATTGTACGGGTGCGAAACATGGACGCTGGGCGCGGCGGAAAAGAAAAGGTTAGAAGCCTTCGAAATGTGATGTTATAGACGGATGATGAGGATATCGTGGGTAGAAAAGGGTAGAAATGGAAAGGTATTAGAAAGAATAGGAGAACAGAGGACTCTATGGAAGTCAATAAAAAATAGGCGAGATAGGTTGATAGGACGCCTTCTCAGACATGAAGGTCTAGTCAAGAGACAAATTAGAGGCAGAAACAGGAGTTAGGAGGGATAGAGGTAGACCTAGATGAGACTACTTATCGCAAATAGTTAAGGATGTGGGCTGTTCTAGTTTTAGGGAAATGCGAAGTTTAGCTCAGGATAGGAAAGAGTGGAGGTACGTGTCGAATCAGTCTTAGGACTGACGACCTTATGATGATGATGACGTTTTAACTTGATATATATCACCATTGGTATAGTCTGTACGAACCAATCTAAAAAGTAATGGAAGCAACACGTTGAAAATATAAGGATAGTTCAATAGCAATAAATAATTAATTCAAAAAGTGAACTATAGGCCTGCCGCTCGAAATGATGTGGACGCGCGGTAGCAAAAGTTGGCAGTTTCTGTTATAACAACTGCAACCCTCTTTCTTCTGTATTCCTATCGAGGGCGTAGATTAAATTGTTAAAAACAAGGATCAGTTTATAAAATTAAATTGAAAAAGTTAACTACTACTACTGTTTATAGGGAAACGTAGAAGTTGCAGAGAAATTGAGATTTACAATTTTAAACAATTTGGATGTAATTCCATCTTACTAATTACCTAAACAGGAATTTATGGTATGCGGATATTATAATATTGTGGATCACTATTCCACGAGTCCACTGTCGCCGTAAAAGAAAGCCAAAAGGGACCCCTAGGACTTACTTACAGGGACTTTACAGAACTTAAGTTTTAACTAATTTTGCGAGTTGCATAGTTCTTTGTTTTGTTTTAGTGGATTCGACGGGATCGTTAAGATCAATGTGTGTCAATTTATATTCTCATATTTATTACTTATATTTTTCGTTCTGTTTTTTCCATATGCTTAGTTGTTCTTCCTGTATACGCCTATTTACCCTGAGTAGCCGTAATTGATTTGGTTTTTAACTACGTAATGATGAAAGGTCATCCATTTAATCTATCTGTCCTTACGGAATCATACATTCGTTGCTGCGTTACACATTTTCTAGTAAAAATACAACCGGTATTATCACTACATACTACACACTATTATTATATATTACTATGTACGTATGTACAATTGCTATAAATAAAGGTCGCACAAATCGTTATCTTGCGTGTAGGCATGAATCGGTTATTTTCCACTAATTACACATGTTTTTAACTGAAACAGTGACGGATACCTTGAAATAAACGGCTTAGTTGGTCGTCGTTTTACACCTGAACGTTGCGTAATTAACAGCTGCACTTCATTTAATTACTTAATTAAACTAGACTTGATGTTTGATTGATGCTTTATTTCGCCTACGGGCTTTTCTGTTGACAGAATTTGAATCGGATGGAAATTATCTAGCTATAGTACTCGCTCTTATACACTTAGAGTCTATTGCAGTTGTTTATGTGTGAAAAAAAAAGAACTTCGAAATACCTTACATCGTCTTTTTTTATCTTCCTGCTACCGTAAATGGTTTTCTATTCGGTACGTGTAATGAAATAAAACAATCGAGCAACTTTTAGGTGAGAAAATATACCAAATCAGATCAAAGGCGCCTGGAAGAATTTCGTTTTATTCTCTTAAGGACGATACACATGAATATATTATTAGATACTTATGTGTTTGTGCATATTTTATTTTATTGCTATTACATAACGAACGAATCAAGGTAGTGGCGCGTAGTAAGTGAGTATTTACTAATGTTTCTATGACTACCTTCTTGATACTACTCGGTTTATAAATAATACCTGTTAATAGACAACGATTAGGTACATGTAGAAAATGTTCGTCATAGACACGCGTTCGTAACTATCCTTGAATAAACTACTCGCTTATAAATAGCAAATGCGAATAATAATTAGCTTCTCCGTTTCGCGTCGAAATCAACGTTTTCATCAAACGTCGTTTTATTTTCAGTATTACGTAAAACATGACAATAAAATCCATTCTGGGTTGGATTGATTTCCGCGGTCAAGGTTTGGAAAATACAATCCAACACCTGAATCATCTTGATTGGAATATGTAAGTTCGTGCTACGAAAAAAAAAATATGTACTTGAATGTTTTAGTTTCTGAAAAATAGGGCGTCCAAAGAATTTTGTGCGTCGACGAATAAAATGGTTCCTTAGTTTTATTTATAAATTTTTAGTCAATGCCAACGCCAGTCGAGAAGTTATTAATGTCTTCAGGAATGAGATACTCGCCTGTTAAGAATCGATATAATTTACTTTGGTGATGTTTCAAGTTCAATAAAATCAATCGATATCATATACTAACGATTCTACAAACATATACTTATCGTAATAAAATTTTTATTAGTAGGCGTAATTCTTTTTCTGGTTACAGGACTGTAATTTACTGACATGGTACCTTACCATAAAAATTTAATGATCATTTTTCTTAACGAATAATTAACACCATTAGGTGTGTGTTAGAAATGTTCATTGGTCATTAATTGATTTATTGTCTTTTCAGAATTCGATCAGGCACAATCTGTCCCTACACAATCGTTTTATGCGTGTCCAAAATGAAGGGACGGGAAAGTCCTCCTGGTGGATAATAAATCCCGATGCGAAACCGGGAAAGTCTGTACGTAGAAGGGCTGCATCGATGGAAACGAGTAAATTTGAAAAAAGACGCGGCAGGATAAAAAGGAAAGTGGACGCGTTGAGAAACGGCGTACCAGACGGTACCAGCAGTCCCAGTTCTTCAGTGTCTGAAGGACTTGACCTGTTCCCAGATTCACCCATCCACAGGTTAGAAAATGTCTGCATTTTCTTTGAAGATTTATTGACTCAATTAAATTTTTTCGCTACTTTCCCAGTAGTTTCCAGTTGAGTCCAGACTTTAGGCCACGAGCACCATCGAGCACGTCACCCGGTGGTCGGCAACTGTCTCCCATACCGGCGGTTGTGGGAATGGAACCTGATTGGAGTTGCTCACCCACGCCCTTTGGAGATAACTTCAACAATCCCGACGTCACGGGAAGCTATTCCCCTGATCAGTTGGCGGGCAATCTCGAACAGGGGATGAAGCTACAGCAAGATTCGTATTTGGGGTAAGAATCTGCAACTTTGTTTTTTTTTTGTTGTGACGGTTGGTTCCGGTATTGAAAAGAAAAAAACTAATTTGCATTATCACGATTTTTGGATTTTTATTTCCGCATCGTTGATTGATGTTCAGCGGTGATTCATGGTCGGATTAAGTTACATGATAAAACACTTTTTGCTGAAGCATCAAATTACGGCAATAATATTCTACTATCTAATAGTAATAGTCTTTTGGCATTTGAAATTGTTGACTTTTAACATTTCCCAGCAATTCGCTTTTTAAAAATATGTACGTAAATAATAAAACTGTACATCATTTCACAGAAACTATTTAATGAGTTACTAGGTAAAATACGCTATTGTTTTGGTAAATATTAATACATACATCACTACATAGTATAAAACAAAGTCGCTTTCCCGCTGTCTGTCCCTATGTATGCTTAATAAGTCTTTAAAACTACGCAACGGATTTTGATGCGGTTTTTTTTAAAAGATAGAGTGATTCAAGAGGAAGGTTTATATGTATAATACATGCATAATATAGCAGGGAAACACTGATAATTTTGGAGGTTTCTAATGTGATGTCGTAAATAAACACATTTTTTGCGCTTACATTGCAAACGCTGGCTGAACCCTACGAGATAGATCATAATAATGTACTACAATACTGTACATCTTAAAAGGTCTACAAAAAAGTCCGCGATGGTATATGTCTATCGTTTAGGGATAATCCACAATAACCATTTTTATCCTTTACTTTTTATGAGAAATAATGACTTATTTACGAAGCGATTGTAAGCAATACAGCATTAATTCTTACCCAATTAAGTACCTTAAATACATTGTGCATTTAATATAGATTAATATGGCCCTTTACAGCATGTAATTTAAATGAATATTTTCGAAGACATTACAGATTTAAAATGCAGGGACATAGCGTTTGCGGGGGTACCGGCCGGGAGGCCGGTTTGTATTGTCTAATGACAAAAAAACTGTGAATGTTGTACATAAAGACATTCTGTAGTATATTTAGTATATACAGGGGGTATCTCTTGAAGATTTCCCCTTTTCGATAATAATCTAAACAGAACAAAAATATATTTAGTATCAGCGTTGCACCCGTGCGAAGCTGGGGCGGGTCACTAGTTATTATATAAATTAATTTGACTCTTTAGATATTTGAACGGCCAGTCGCAGCAACAAGGCCAGCAACCACCCCCTCCTCCTTACACCTCGTCTTACGACATCAACCCCTTGCAGACGAACCCTGCATTCAGCTTATCGGAATGTCCTGTTCATCGTCTCCAAAATTGCAACTGTCTGGGACCAGTCCAGTGCAAAGTGGAGGTAAGAATAAATAAAAAAAAAAGATTAACCCACCCCTTACGACAAAAAGGGTGGGAAGACGAGTGACGATTATTTCCATTTTTAACATTTTTCGATTGATTTAAGAACGTGTCGCCTTCTGGTATGTCACCGTCGTATTCAGAATCATCTCCCGATCCGATTGGTAATCAGTTCCTGGGTAGTGGATCCGGTCCTGCCGTTTTGCCCAGACCCCCATCAAATTCGCCTCCCTTAACGCCACAGCCGTCCTCCGTGGTGCACCATCGCCAGCAGCAGTCGCCCACCTCGCCCCAGCAACAGTCTCAAACGCCTCAACGACCTTCCCAGCAGTCGCAGAACCCAAGCGCTGCACCCGTAGGTCCGTCGACAATGATGGGTCAACTGATGGGCGCGTTGAACAGCAGCGCTGCACTTACGATCGATGATCTCAACATCAATATCGAATCGCTACCGGGCGGATTCGATTGCAACATCGACGAGGTGATCAAGCACGAGCTCAGCATGGAGGGGTCGTTGGATTTCAACTTCGCCAACACGTCGGGCGGTGCGAGTACGGGAGGTGTAGGGACGCAGCCCGGTTCCGGAGCCCTTATCGGTCACCATCATCATCACGTCGTCGGTCACCATCACCACCATCATGGAGATGGGAGTTCTGCGGTCGTCTCCAGTGTCCACAGCATGGTACCGGCTCCTTCCGCTACCGCATCAGCGCAGGCCGCAGCATCACCCTACTCCACGACGCCGTCCTGGGTGCATTGATGGACGCCAAGGGTTAGGACGACGACGCAGGACGTCCCGACGCACGCAACCGAGCTTGTCGATTAGGGTGAGTCTTTTTATGGTTTTTTTAACTGATTTCGTCAACGATAATTCACTCTGAATGGTGCTTTGTTATTATCGTTTTATTCTTAGTAACTTTAACCTTTTTTGTGTTCACTTTTTATGCATCTAAAGAGTGAACAATTGTTGAAGGAGTTTTGGTATTTTTTGTTATGTTTTGCTGGCTTAACAGGGGTTATAGTTGAAAAATCTATCGATTCGTTTGCAGAATCCCATGCCGAACTATCAATTCTGTCAATTAATTTTGTTTTCAATTTTTAATTAATTTCAATTAATATCACACAACACAGAATTTCGTATTTTAGACACAAGACAACACACATTGTAATTAACACGTTTCAACACTGTACAATTTATTAGCACATACACCTTGTATTACAATACATTAAATTAGTAATTATTAATTTTTGAATTTCAGTCAATTCACTTTGTAACTTTCACCAGGTATTCACATCCCTTCTTCACGTACTTACCCAAACCACCCACACGTTCCTTTGTCACGTACTCACCCCAATCGTGCTACACATTTCACTCACCCTGTTTATACATAAAAGAATTACAAAGATTACAACATTTAACTGAAGAAGTTTTTAATTGTATTACAATACATTAAATTAGTAATTATTAATTTTTGAATTTCAGTCAATTCACATTGTAACTTTCATCAGGTATTTACATCCCTTCTTTACGTACTTACCCAAACCACCCACACGTTTCTTCCTTACGTACACACCCCAATCGTGCCACACATTTCACTCACCCTATTTACACATAAAAGAATTACAAAGATTTCAAAATTTAACTGAAGAAGTTTTTAATTGTATTACAATACATTAAATTAGTAATTATTAATTTTTGAATTTCAGTCAATTCACATTGTAACTTTCATCAGGTATTTACATCCCTTCTTTACGTACTTACCCAAACCACCCACACGTTTCTTCCTTACGTACACACCCCAATCGTGCCACACATTTCACTCACCCTATTTACACATAAAAGAATTACAAAGATTTCAAAATTTAACTGAAGAAGTTTTTAATTGTATTACAATACATTAAATTAGTAATTATTAATTTTTGAATTTCAGTCAATTCACATTGTAACTTTCATCAGGTATTTACATCCCTTCTTTACGTACTTACCCAAACCACCCACACGTTTCTTCCTTACGTACACACCCCAATCGTGCCACACATTTCACTCACCCTATTTACACATAAAAGAATTACAAAGATTTCAAAATTTAACTGAAGAAGTTTTTAATTGTATTACAATACATTAAATTAGTAATTATTAATTTTTGAATTTCAGTCAATTCACATTGTAACTTTCATCAGGTATTTACATCCCTTCTTTACGTACTTACCCAAACCACCCACACGTTTCTTCCTTACGTACACACCCCAATCGTGCCACACATTTCACTCACCCTATTTACACATAAAAGAATTACAAAGATTTCAAAATTTAACTGAAGAAGTTTTTAATTGTATTACAATACATTAAATTAGTAATTATTAATTTTTGAATTTCAGTCAATTCACATTGTAACTTTCATCAGGTATTTACATCCCTTCTTTACGTACTTACCCAAACCACCCACACGTTTCTTCCTTACGTACACACCCCAATCGTGCCACACATTTCACTCACCCTATTTACACATAAAAGAATTACAAAGATTTCAAAATTTAACTGAAGAAGTTTTTAATTGTATTACAATACATTAAATTAGTAATTATTAATTTTTGAATTTCAGTCAATTCACATTGTAACTTTCATCAGGTATTTACATCCCTTCTTTACGTACTTACCCAAACCACCCACACGTTTCTTCCTTACGTACACACCCCAATCGTGCCACACATTTCACTCACCCTATTTACACATAAAAGAATTACAAAGATTTCAAAATTTAACTGAAGAAGTTTTTAATTGTATTACAATACATTAAATTAGTAATTATTAATTTTTGAATTTCAGTCAATTCACATTGTAACTTTCATCAGGTATTTACATCCCTTCTTTACGTACTTACCCAAACCACCCACACGTTTCTTCCTTACGTACACACCCCAATCGTGCCACACATTTCACTCACCCTATTTACACATAAAAGAATTACAAAGATTTCAAAATTTAACTGAAGAAGTTTTTAATTGTATTACAATACATTAAATTAGTAATTATTAATTTTTGAATTTCAGTCAATTCACATTGTAACTTTCATCAGGTATTTACATCCCTTCTTTACGTACTTACCCAAACCACCCACACGTTTCTTCCTTACGTACACACCCCAATCGTGCCACACATTTCACTCACCCTATTTACACATAAAAGAATTACAAAGATTTCAAAATTTAACTGAAGAAGTTTTTAATTGTATTACAATACATTAAATTAGTAATTATTAATTTTTGAATTTCAGTCAATTCACTTTGTAACTTTCATCAGGTATTTACATCCCTTCTTCACGTACCTACCCAAACCACCCACACATTCCTTCCTCTCACGTACACACCCCAATCTTGCCACACATTTCACTCACCCTGTTTACACATAAAAGAATTACAAAGATTTCAAAATTTAACTGAAGAAGTTTTTAATTGTCTTACAATACATTAGATTAGTAATTATTAATTTTTGAATTTCAGTCAATTCACTATGTAACTTTCACCAGGTCTTTACATCCCTTCTTCACGTACCTACCTTACATTTTGTAATTAACACGTTTCAACACTACACTTAACTTATTTTTAGCACACACCTTGTATAAAAACACTTTACTAATTATTATTTTTATAAATTTTAGTTCATTCCCTTTGTAATTTTCACTAGGCAAATTAAAACACATTTAACTAAAACACATTTAAATAATAAACAATTTATTTGTACAACAATACATTGTCATTTAATTTAATAGGTACATTTTATGTTCAATAACTACAATGGCAATTTTATTTGCTCATATTTTTCGTTTCCTCTTCTAGGCCATTGGATATCTGTAAAGAAAAAAAAAACAAATAGGTAAAGGGAAATCTGCAAACGAAACTTGTTTAGCAAGCAAACTATAACAAAAAGTACTTGCATGATTACACACCACACACACATCCCTTCTTCAAATACCCACTCCAATCACGCCACGCACATCACCCACCCAGTTTACACACAGAAACCACACAAAGAACACACCATTCATCTGAAACCCCTTCGACTGAAGGGGCTTCAGTTGAATGCTGTGCTCGGAGTGTGACTTCTGTGTATAAACTGCGGGGTGGTGATGAGTGTGGCGCGAATGGAGTGGTTAGGAGGGGAAGGGTACTCTCACAAACCCCCCGTCCACCCAACCTCCATCCCGCCACCTCCTTCCTCACGTACCCACCCCAATCACGCCACACATCACCTACCCAGTCCACACACAGAAACCACACAAAGAACACACCGTTCAACTGAACCCCAATCGGGGTTTCCAGTTGAACGGTGTGCTCCGAGTGTGGCTTCTGTGTGTGAAGTGAGGGAGGTGATGCACGTGGTGCGAATGGGGTGGATGCGAGGGGAGGGTACGTGGAGAGAGGTGGAGGCTGGGTGGGTGGAAGGGGAGGGGGGAGAAGGAAGGATAAATATGATAGAGAGAAGGAGATCGTCTTGTTGATGTGTATATATACAATTATATATATATCACACGTGTGATATATATACATACTATTGTACATCAACAAGACGATCTCCTTCTCTCTTTCTTTCTTTCTTTCTTCCTTCCCTTCCCTTCCCTTCCCTTCCCTTCCCTTCCCTTCCCTTCCCCTCCCCTCCCCCATCCACCCACCCATCTTCTTCCACCTTCTACGTACCCTCCCCTCGCAGTCACCCCATTCGCACCACGTTCATCAACTCCACAGTTTCCACACACAGAAGCCACACTCGGAGCACAGCATTCAACTGAAAGGGGTTCCAGTTGAATGTTGTGTTCTTTGTGTGGTTTGTGTGTGTGTAAACTGTGTGGGTGATGTGCGTGGCGTGATTGGGGTGTGCACGTGGGGAAGGGACGTGTGTGGTGCATGGATGGGTGGATGGGGTGTGTGGGGTGAAGTTTACTCACCAGTTTGGTCCGTTGGCGGCGGCGGTGAGTCCTGGTGGGTCCTTGGCGACGGTGACGAGTCCTCTGGTCTTGTTCCTTAGCGGCGGTGGATTCCCTCACTGAAACAATACATGTTATTTTTAAGATGAGTTGTTATTTAGCGGGGATGACTTACTTAAGAAGTTTTCGTGTTGTTGCAGGGGTGGAGTGGTGGTTTCGTCAGTTTCAACCGAGCGCAAATCCCTGGTGTGATCTCCAGAAGCTCCGTAGTAGTTGTTACGTAACTAAAGAGTGACGATCGATCGATCGATCGATCGATTGATTGATTGGAAAGAAGATTCTTCTTATTTGCTGCCAATGTTAGTCGTCGCCTACTGTGTTGTCGTCGCTGTGTCTTTTACCCTCGTTTGTCGTCTCCGCACTGATCAACTGGAATAGAAAAATTATAAACAATTACGAAACAATTGCCCCCTACTACGCCCCCAAATAGCTGTTTTATCGTTGTGCCATTTTTAATATAATGTTAAGCGAATATTGTCCATAGTTGTCAATTATAATTTTAAAGATTACTTAAATAAAAGAAGAGCAGCTTGAGCAAAAAGGTTTTCATTGAAAAAACGATGATTTTTTTTATTTTTTTAATT